CATGTGCATTGGGAGTAAAAAACAAAAATGTGAATGCAAGGACAGAGAAGCCAAAGTACAGTAATATCTGAATTAGGATCTACCCTAATAATTCAGGGTCGCAACACATTAAGAATATTGAAGTATGATGTTATGTTTTATTCAGAATAAAGTGGCATGCTATTTATTGCACTTTATCAAGACAGCATTTACAAGTGCTTAACAAAGAACAAGAATAGCATCAATGTGACGATTATGGTGATTATATTAAAGCTTATTTCAGCCTTATTATAGGGCGTAACTAAGGTGAAATAGATCTTAGCAGGATCGCATTTAGGAATTTTGTGAGTAACAGTTATCTCCGAGATTGGTACTCCAATCTGAAAATGACTTTTAGGAGATTGAGGCGACCTCCGATATATTCCCATGCCGCCAGAAGAACAAATTATGAATCATACAATTGTATCAATTAGAAGATGTTGGCCATCTGATTAAAAATGATGCAAAGTCTCGCGTATTCATGATAAAATGCTACTACTGACCACTTTGATAAAGTGTAACTCTGTGGTAACGATAGCACCTCTCACTGACGATGCCGACTACGATGCAGGCGAAATGTTTGAGAATGTGCCAAGTCAATGGTTCGCTGCTGGATATCACGAATACTATGGCAGAGAACACAGGACTAGGTAAGTTCCACAAGGTCTTTTTGATGTTCCGACGAAACTGCGTAAACTAGGTCGAATCGGAAAGCCCGAAGGTCACCTTCCTTCAATGGAAAGTATCAAATTCGTCAAGTTTGCAAATAGGACAGGCAGCTGAGCTGGGAAATGCGAAAATAGTATTATTGAATCATGGACTTATCGTCGAAGAAGATCACTTTTATATACTCCTCCAAAAATTAATCTCAAGATGACATAGCATATAGACTGTGCAACAATCTGATGATTATAGATATGAAACCAAATTGATGTTGCTTCTGTTTTCTTCCGTAGTGCAAAACTGTGATGGGTTCGTCACAACCTAATCGTCACAACTTGTATGAACTTTTACCAGAATACACAATTAAATCCTGTAGCCATGTCTTCTCTGGAATTGGAATGCTTGCAACTATAACAAAATATGCGATGGCACCACCTGTTTTACTCTCCTCCACTCTCTCTTGTCATGCTTGGATTGTTGATTCCCAAAGTAAAATCACAAATTTAGTAGCTTCTCTTTCTTTAATGGATTTTACTTGAGAAGTAATGCCAGTAGACTCTCCTCTTTTTTACCTACTGAACTCTCCTTTCGATTAAATATATTACACGATATCATGAATGTAGAAGCCGGATGGGCAGGGAATGACAGGTTCTTTGGGATTCAAGAGAATAATCGACGTTCTCCCAGACTAGTTTACGTATTCTCCCAGTTTAACATAAAAGATAGTTTTCAGCTTATTATTTCTAGCTTAACTATCCATAATTTGGAGCCGGGAAGAGTGCTTTACATATGTTGTATGAACTGTAGTAGACTAGTTTTTAAATTCTTTTCATTTTATGGAGTCCGTATATTTTTTAACTCAAAACCCTGCAGTTTCCCATTTTGCCGGCTCGAAGGTAGATGTGTTCTGTCAGTATATCTGATCAAGCCTCCTTTGCACCCAGTTCACAATGAAACTATTAACCGTGTCTAAAATATCTCTCAGATTTTTAGCAATTACCGAAGCCTAGGGCCGTCAATAGGAGTGACGCTTCCGTCATTTCATATACAAATATCTAATTAGCACATGAGAACGGTTAAAATCTAGTAGAAACGGAAAGGGATCTAGGATAACTATGATGATAGGGGTCTGGAACCGATGACCTGGCAAAATGTCATGGTCCACTGAACTCCAATTCCTTGGAGTCCATGAGAGGATTAAAAAATTTGGTAGAAGGGTCGGGGGGGGGTGAAAATAAATGGATAATGAGAAGTGGTTGCGAAGAATGATGCTGCTCCACCTTATGTCCGGACAACAGCGACATACTACACAACTGGGGCATTGACGAGCTGGCCACCAACAAACAGTCCATTTTCGTGACAGCTTCCGGTGTCCAGGCAGCCCCCAACGCCGAATTGCCCAGCGCCTCCTCTTCAGAGCCAGACCGCTCCTCCGTTACCACTTCACAGGATGCCAATGGTGCCAGACGTCTGGCCGACACAACACCAGCTCCACTCGCTAAACCGCCCGGCAGATGTTCGCTTGTCTCGTCCAGAACGTTTTCAACCCAACGGAAGCAACTGGCAAGCGAGGAAGTGATGGTGATAGAAGAGGACTCGGCTACAACAGTGGAAAAACTGTCTCCATTCTCCTGCTCACTGAGGCTGTTGGCAAAGAGAGTCGAGGATGAGTCGCTCGAAGGTAGACACTTTACCAACTTTGTCGTCACAACCTCTCCTCTTGACTTGCGAGTTTCGGAGTTGCTCAACCCTGCATCAGCCGACAGCATCCGGCATTCAATACCAGTGGCGATGTACTCGTCACCATCAGGAATGTTGCTATGACCATTGATAGCATCCTCTCCATTCTCTGCACCGCCTTCGTTGGCTTCACATTCCTGATTGCTTTCGCCAACGGCCTCTCCCATGCAGCCATCGCCGCTACTGCTGCTACTGCTGGCGCTGATGCTTCCAGTGCGAGTGTTTGCCCTTTTG